TGCCTACTAATCCTAAGTTTATCCTTTTATGAAAAAGAGCAAATTATGTGACAGGTCAGAGTGGGGTGGGAGCTTAGGACTCCACAGTACCTACCTACCTCTGGTTCCATGTTTATATCTTTACAATTTATCATTTTAGAGTAGCCCTTAGGCATGACTTCTTTTCATTATTTTTTAAGACATCTATAAAATATGTATTTTTTTCTTCTTAATTTTCTTTTTTAATTGAAATAAACGCAAGACATTTCTGGCTTCCTGACATCTCAGAGTTTGACTTACGCTTCAAAAATTTTAACCATGACCAAGACGTTTGAACAGGTAAGACAAGGGTTTTAATTTTTTACGGGTGTTTTTTTTGTGTGTGCCAATACTTTGATTCCAACAACATGAACAATTTGAAACCTTACCCTGGAGTTTGACCTTCATTTGAAGAATTTAAATCATAAGTTTTGAACAGTTATTGCTGGGGCTTATATAATTCAGACTTTTTAAGACAATGCCTTCCCCTGGTTACCATTAAGTTTGATTCTTTTGAGCTTAGAGTAAATGTCTGCCATAACTTTTGAATAGATGGTGCTTAGGGTTTTATGTTTCACGGATATAACATTCAATAACATTTATTTTTCATTGAACTTTGATTTTGACTAGTAATTGAGAAACTTAATCTTAATCGTTTTCCATCAGCTACCATATGGGACATCATTGTTTCACAAAAATATTTTTTTTATTCTTCAATAAAATTTGTTCCTATAGGTTATTTGAAAACAAAGTGATATAGCAAAGTGTGATACTAACGATTTTTCACAAATGAATGGCTTTGGTTCGTCACAATGATCATCATCCCAGTGATAGTGATATTCATGAAACAGCTGTAGACAGTCCTGATCAACATCATTATTAGGTTGTCCTGATTTTATTTTAATAACTTGTATTTCTTTTGTTATTGAAGATTTTATTTTGTGTATTAGATATATTAGTTTCATTTCATCAAAAATGTCAACAACTCCTTTTCGCGGTCTTTTTTTATTAGCCAATAATATTGATATTTTACATTAAATATATTAAATCAATACCTCCATATCCGTACAAGTTGAGGTATGTTCGAAGAAACTGGTTTTCAGAGTAATCGCCAATATTTGTTAGATAGGCATGCAAGTTTCTACAATAGTCCTGAAAGTAAAACAAATAATAATAGTACAAATTAGAACTTTCAGTATCTTCTTATCCTGTCATTATAATGCTCTTCATTAAGATTTAGAAGTTCTTTATGCAGCTGCAATTAAGTCGCGGCATCCATTATTTTTTGTGGGGGGGGGAGGATAAAAAGGGTGAAGATTACGAAAAGTGATAATTGATTCTTAAAAAAATAATAAAACAAAAAGAACAAGCCCTTTTAAATTACAGACATGGGATCTAGCATACTCTAGGTATACAGAATATTCCGTAGTCATAGACAAATCGTTTTTAGGCAGATCTACTTCACTGTTCATTAGTTTTTTTCAGCTATTATGTTGCAAATTATGTCAATACATATTTCCTTCTGCAGGTTTTTTAGCCAGCCTTACTAGATGTAGTTATCAAAACGAGTTCATGGACCATTTGAAAGCCTGGGGTCCGTTACACAGGAGAACTTAGGAATAAAACCAAAATATCTAGCTGTTTGTAAAATTTCTAAAAAAACAAAACAAAAGGATGATAAATATTCTCCTATACTGCATTTAAAAATCAAAATTAATTTTAAATTTAATGTTAATTAGAAACTTTTTAGGAGAATTAAATTTAAGTCTGAATCGTAATTTCTTCTGTAAAACTGGCCTTTGATCTTTACGAACCTATAGGGTGGCTTTTATTCATTCCAGAAACTTGACAATAAACATCCCCCATCAAACATGAGCACTAGTATTTCTGAACGATAATGGTTAATTTTAAGTTTTATTCTTTTGAAAATTGAATTCATTTACCAACTGAATAGAATAGAGTTTTCGTTCATTGTGTTTTTACACAATATGAAAAAAATCTCTATGAATCTTAATATAATTTCGTTTTGTGGACGAAATCAAATGTGAGAGAGGGAGAAAGAGGGATACCTCAGCAGCTGTCCAATGTCTGTTTTGGTAAACAAACAAATAACAGCTTGATCCATGTGAAATCCATCCACCTGAGCATTCACAATCAACTTCTACAAAGCAAAGGAATAACTTAGCACTTAAAATAAATGATACTTGTATCCATTTACTTTAAGGTTTATGATTGATAATGAACAGACAGCAATTTTTCATCTGTCGAAACAGATAGTAAAAATAGTACTATGATCAACAGTCTTTCAACCTCCATCGAAAAAATGACATGCAATGTGATGCTACGTGGAGGTCATACTAAGATAAATGTACAACAATACAGGAATTCTGCAATTTGACCCAACAGATAAGACATAATGCCTTTTCGATAATGTACATAAATATCTAATTTGTTAAGAACCTATCTTTTTTAGATATGACTTTAACCTCTTTTTTTCAAAAATGGATATAAAAACCTTTACTTCAGGACAGTAGCTGGTTAACATATGCATTTATCATTTTATATCTTTAATCAATTCTAACTAATTAAAAGAATAATTGCAGGAATAAGCTAAGAATCTCTCTCTCTCTCTCTCTCTCTCTCTCTCTCTCTCTCTCTCTCTCTCTCTCTCTCTCTCTCTCTGGAATATTTTAAAAACAATAAGAATATAAAAGTCACATAGTGCTTTGTAATGTGTCTTGGACAATAATCCTTTTTGTCTTTGATCATCAAGGAAGTCCTCTATTACTTGATCTATCTCTATCGAAACATATGGAGATAACTAACAGTATTCAAGATCAAAAGTCCATTTAACAATACAAAACAGGACCAGAGCAAACATCAGAGGTGGGATCAGGTGCTATTGAGGAGTGAACACCCCCTGCCTATCGGTCACACCCGCCGTGTGCTCCTTGTCATGAATGGGGAATAGTGGAAAAATCCGTCGTCAATTCAGTGTATAAATAATGGACTAACAATTAGTATGAAAAACACCAGTCAGCATTTAACTCAATGATAAATACTTTATAATAATAAACCTTTGTCGGTAGTAAATGTATAAGCTACAGTACGTTGCATTCATTCTACAATAGAAGTTCGAAACGTGGGACAATTCTATACTTTGACTTCTCATTGTGTAGATAAGAGACAGCAAGATAACTGTTTACCTAACTAGGTGTATATACACTAAACAATAAAAATTAAAACAGCAGTCTATAAAAAGCTTTATGATTTAATGTCCTGTATCGTGTGTATAGAATGTTTGACAAAAAAAAGATATAAATGAAAAGAACATAAAATACAGAGCCTGTTAATCAAAATTTTTATCCAATATAGATAAGTGTAGATACGACTTTCCGGATCACTACACTGTGGTTTTCTGAATGAATCCATATCACCACGCTGTGAAACTGATGACGTAGTACACAGAAACTTGACGTTATTTGTCTTGCGCGTTTAAATTTCTTTGTTATTATGCCTTGTTTTATGAATAAATATTATACAATTGATTTTTAAAGTTTTATTCTGCTATATTTGGCTAGTTATATGGGGGACACATTGGGGGTATATAATAAATTTATCATTATAATTATAACTTGATCCGAAGAGCCGTATCACCGTATCGTTGACAGGTGCGGATCATCAGATCAAACTCGACGCCTCGCATCTCGTTTAATTTGATTATCTGCGCTTGTCAATTCGACGTGATACGACCCTTCGAATTAAGTTACTGTTATAATTATATATATGGATCATATTCTAAGGCTTTGAACTTAAACACAATCAATGCTTTTCACGAGAACCTGATTCCAATTTTGTTAATAATTTTAAAATTCGCATAATATCAAGAACTGTATGTTTTATGTCGTTTCCCTTTATTTAAAAAAAAAATCTATAACAAAGCATGCAATACATTTTTTCCTGTTTGGTTGTCTCAAGCGTATTTGATATCGAAGAAACATCACATGGATCCAAAATCACTGCCCATACAGATAAATGTTCAGATATGAGAAAATGCAGAAATATTGGATGTAATGTCAAGAACATAAATGTATAAAGATAATCAGATATTCACAAGAATACGACTAAATGGCTGGATTTTTAGATTATCAGTGGAGTTATAGGAAGATATGTCTTACAAGAACTAGTCCCAGTTTATGATAAAGTCTACATGGAAACTCTTTTTAAGAACGTGCATGTATAACTGTACATTGAAACCTTTGACAATATAAACCTGACGTCTATATAGCTAGTTATCTCTGTATAAAGTTGCAATATTTGGACACTTCGTGTGTAAACTGAGGAACAGGCAATAATTATGTCATCCCAAATTCTATTGAAATGTATTGCTATTGCCATATTTACAGGTAAAGTTAAAATAATAATCACAATATGTTTTATAAATATAATGTATCCGTTTTTTAAGATTTATCAAAGTTCAATCAAGGGGTCGCCCGCTTGTGGCAGTGGTTAGAGCGTCTGCTCTAGAGTCACGAAGTAAGAATTTGATCCTTACATCGCGGGTTCGTATCCCACGGAGGGACGTGGAGACCGGTCCCTTGGATGAGACCATGTAAACCTAGGTCCCATGTCCCAGTAGGTGCTGGCACGAAAAAGATCCCTCCCTGCTCAATTGCCCTGAGTGCCGAATGGAGGAAAAAAAATTGCAGCTCTCCACCGGCAAGTAGTGGCGTCTCCACATCAGTGAAAAATTCTCGAGAGAGACGTTAAACAGTATACAATCAATCTATCAAAAGTGGAGCAGTGGACGTCTGTGTTAGATTCGAGAAGAAAGGAGTTGATCCTTGCGTCGCGGGTTCGAATCCCACTGTGGTCCTTTGGATGAGTCCGTAGAAACCGAGGTCCAACAATCAATCAATCAAGAGTGTCATGGGATTTATGTCAGGTTGAACATGCTTTATTTATTTCAGGGACTATATATGTGGAAGCTGACTGTCCTAACAACTGGAAAAGTTTTAATAGAAATTGTTATCTATTTTTAAACCAACTTTCAATGAACTGGCAAAGTTCTCGGGTATGTTTTCATTCTCTCATTTTTTTCTTTTTATAGTCTTGTCCTAAAGTGAAAAGTGAACAGGTCAAAAATGAAAAAAAAATTGATTGTTCAGTATAGGAAGGAAGCCCTTCTCATAAGATTTTTGTTGTATTTTTCACTACCAGTTTCTGAAGTCTTTGCATATTAATTTTGCATTACTAATGTACATGTATTGGTTGTTGATAATAATTAAAAATCAATAATGTTTATATGAATAGGTAATTGAAACACACACGCGGAGAATTTTAATATTATTCTTTAAATTTATTTGAACTCTCCTGACAGATCATAATTTTTATTGTATTCTTAATCATGATGATAATTCAGATATTGTGAATTTATTTTGTACAGGACTACTGCATACACGCAGGTGCTAAGTTGGTGGAAATTGATTCTTCTGTTGAAGATATTTTTATTTTACAAAATGCAAAGGATTTACATCTAAGTGGTCGTAAGTTTAAAACTATTAGCCCGTTTATTTTATACTTACTTAATGATTTCTGATATTACCCAAATGATTTCCAATGCAAGCTAACAATACGAAGGACGGGAATAAAAGTTGACTATACCTAATTTGTACTAAATAAGTATGTGTAGTGGTGGTAAATAACAAAAAAATCGAAAACTATCAATTGACCTGAAATTTTTTTGTAAAAAATTCCACCATGTATTAATTTATGTGCGTTCCTAAGATGCTATTGATATAGGTAAAATAAGTTCCAGTTGTTGTTGCTTACAAGCATTTAAGAAAAGAAAACGACAAATAGACCTAACAAAACATTAAAAATTGATAACCTTTTCTTTTCTAAGACTGTTTTTGGTTGGGTGGTTCTGATGCCAAGCCCTCAGGAGTATGGATGTGGTCAACTTCACGTAAAATGTTGATGTACACCAACTGGGCGCCAGGCGAGCCTAACGACTATCACACCCATCAGGAGCACTGCCTTAATCTCCACTACTACACTCACTATAACTCATACCTCTGGAATGACGAGCAGTGCCCAGAACATTGCTACCCTATATGTGAACAACCGTACGGGAAAAGTTGCAATTTGCTGACGGTGCGACTGTTAGACTGAGTGCAGATACTTACTCAGTTTTAGTTTAATCGGGCTCTTCCAGCTGCAAGATAATTTACGTGAGACTTCTGACAATTATCCTTAAACATATCGACAGGTTACACGGCTAAGTCAAACATTGCGTTAGATTATTTAAATTTCCTGGTTATGATAGACCTGTTCATTCCTTACATTGGTTTTCAACTCCTGGTAGTGTTTCCCAAACTGACTTTGCCATCAAAAATTGATTGTATCTATATTTCAAATTAATGAGTTTAATATATTAGTTTAGTTTCCTGTTGTTTGAATTATAAAGATATGAAAGAGCAATTTTTAAGCAAGCTAGCTTTTGACGAACAAAATTTTGAATTGCTCGATGAAAATTAACAAATTGAATTTTCTATAGCGAAAACAATACATATATACATTTTGAATTTTCTACGGATTTTTCTGCTTTCCCCGATCATGACAAGGAGCATAAAGCTATTGTCACTTATAGATAGGAGCTGTACACTCCTCCAGGGCACCTGATTCCACATAGAAGTCTGAGCTTTTTCCTCTCCTGATTTGTATAGTTTAAATGGACACTGTCCCTTATTTCCAAAATTCCTGATAACAAAATGTTGACTGTGTGGTAAAGAGCATTGAACGATTACACTGAGAAATTGAAGTGGAGTTTGTTTTTAAGCAATATGTAGTTTTCATTTAAAAGGAATTACATGATATTCTTTTCGGGAAAAAATACCACTAACAAAAAAATGTAAATGCATTTCGTAAATTCTATGATCGATACAATGACCTTGTCAGCAAATGCAATTTATCATTAAGTCAAATGCTGACTGACTTTTTTATTACTAATAATTAGTCAATTCCATGTGTTTATACACTGAATTGACGACGGATTTTTCCGCTTTTTTCTGATCATAACAAGGAGCACCCGGCGGGTGTGACCGGGCGTTAGGGGATGCTTACTCTTCCATGGCACCTGATCCCACCTCCAATACTTCAGATAGAGGTCCATGTATGCTCTGCTCCTACTTTGTATTGTTTTATGGACTTTTGATCCTGAATCTTGTTTATTATCTCCATGTTTTATTTGTAGAATTTTAAGTTCTCCAACTATTAATATTTTGTGTGGACATCATTTTGATTTCTTTTTAATTTAGAAACCCATGGATAAGATTCACTGATAAACCTTATGTTCCTGTTGCCACTACCACCACTTCTACAACCAAGACCACCACCGCAGTTCCAACCACCACCACAACGACTCATCTTCCATCAACCAGCAAGCACTTACAAATGGTGACACTACCCCAGAATCCACAAAACTCTCAGCTTGCAAACTGTCAAAGCGGATGGATCAGATTTAGCTCCAGCTGCTATATTTTTGCTACCGATATCTCGTACGATTGGGTTGAATCAGGGGTAACGAATGATTATATCGTTGTGTAGAAATAAACAAATATTCATAAGAGTTAGCATTTGATAAATATTCGAAATGAGATTTTAATACAAAAAGTAATGAATACCATTAATACATCTCCAACATTATATCATTGTCGAGGAGAATAATATTGCCATTCAGGTATAAATATGTATATTCGTTTTTCTTTTTTTTTTTTATCTTTTACTGGTTATCTTATTTGTCGGTTAATGTATGAATACAGATTGAATATTTCAATGTTTATTTCATATTCATTATAAACCTTATTATAGACGTTATCATAGATGTTATTATATTAAATTTTGATATTATATTAAATCCTTATCATTTAGGGTCATAAAATGTTTGTACATTTTTTTTTTAAATTTCAGCACTTCTGCACACTGTTTGGTGCATCTTTAGCATCCATAGAAACTGATATTGAAAATAATTTTATAAGACAGGAGTTGCTTAGCATCGCAAAATCTGGTAAGATTGAAAAGCTTTTAATGACCAAACATTTCTTTAACCACGATTAACTCCGTAATTCTTTTTCTGAATACTTTTATAAATTTAGCTGACTTTTGGGTTGGTGGAACAGACATTATGTCAGAAGGTGACTGGAAATGGGCGACGTCACAAAAGCCAGTGACGTATTCGGATTGGTATCCCGGAAGGCCTTCTGATTCTCATCACAATGTGAACTGTCTTGAACTGTCCCATAATTACAGATATCAATGGAATGATCAAGATTGCCGAGTACAAAATCATTTTATTTGTGAAATGCTGCAAGTTTTATTTATCTTACTTTCAAGCTTTTTTGAATAATAAATATTTAAGAAATAAACAACGTTATTCAGTGAACATGGCGTTATGAAAAGCAATTGCTCTGCTGGCATATTCTATAATGCGCGTTAGCGCATCATGGAAAATATGCCAGCAGAGCTATTGCTATTCCTAATGTCATGTTCACTGAATAATCGTTGTTTATTACTTATATTTGCATTCTTTGATGTTGTCAAGAATATCAGAGGAGATTCTGGCTTACATAAGGTTGCGGCTTGTTGTCTTCGGTAAATAAAAACTCACAGCTATAATGCTAACTATAAAAACCTGATCACTGTACCTTTTCTTCTTATAAATCACGAACAATTTATAAAATATTTGCCTTTGAAACACAGTTTATCTGGATACAAGCTGCGCCGTCGTCACATTCTCTTAATTTTTGTTTTTATACTATTATACTGTTGTGACGTCATCGATCAACGTTATTGAAACACTATGACAAAAATCAATAATTTAACACTATGATGAAAAAAGGCAAAGCTTTAATACAGATTATAACTCCAGAATGCTTTATATGATTTTTTTAGTGCTTATTTTTTATTTTTAGAGCGGAAATCCTTCCTTAATAGATATACTATTTAAGAAATGTTGATTTTTTAAATGTTAAAACGCCCAGGTGTGAAGAGTTATCGTTCTTTGTAGAAATGTGCGAAAATATGAAAAAAAATAAAAATATGGCAGTTCTCTTCAATTTTTAAAAAGTTCTATTTTACAATTAAAAACATTGACCAAAATAAAATTTTAATGATGTAAATCAGCAATTTTAGATTATTCTGAATTTCTCTTTTTTACAAAGAATATTATTAAAAACTTATATTTATTCCTTTTGCAAAACATTTCATATATATATTTCTCAGCACATATGCTAAGTCTAGCAGAGATTGTGCTACACGAGTTTGAAAAGCAATTGCATTAATAACAGAAGCAATTACGTCTATAGTCCTATGAATGCAAATATATTTTGTTATTGAATTCATTCAAACTCAAATTTTTGATTATTTTCAGGATTTAAGATGATCAAGGTTTTTCTTTTCTTTTCTTAGAAATACTGCTAACCCTCGTCCCATATTTGGATAAAAAGTTCGCGAACTATCTCTATATTTACATGTATGAAAACGACAATTCAGATCAAAATGAAATTTGTCTTACAAAGAGTCATACACATGTTCAATAAATACAGCAATTGTAATAAAATGTATTGCTTCATGTTCGTGACGTTGCATTTTGAAAATGACGTCAATATGTAGTTTACTTATGACAAACAAAGGCATACTCAGCCGTATTCGAGAAAAGAATGGCTGTAAAAATATACGTATGTCTTGGAATTTCCTTTGCAGAAGCTAATAATAACTTGTACACGGTTTGTCAAGAGAGAATACTAACCAGAAGTTTATAGTCACTAATTGGATTAATTGTTTAAGTGAAGGAAGGGAGATGTTAAAAAACGATATTTGTTTTGTAGCCTAGTGAAACCAAGCTGGGGGAAAGATGTGCTCTCTATTGAGCAATTTGGTCTGACAGAACACCAACTTACAGCTTGAAAAATAATTTCTTTACAATGATATAGTTATTAAATTCCTAAAATATCATGGACTATAGACATTATACATATCATCTATGATAAAAAAAGGCACCCATTCTTTATCAGCATTGAATTAACGACGCTCCAAAGACAGAGGCCTTGGGTTTTGATTGTTACCATGCTCATTATGGAAAAGGATATCATTTCAACCGGGTTCGATTCTCGTTCGCGGCGCCACGTTAAAGTTTTAATAGTTTTCATTAATACACATCAAGATCGCCACTTTTCCGAAGTATTAAGTATAAAAGTAAAATTTGTGAGAGTGCAAGGAGGTGTCAATCAAACGCATCCAAAAATTTGAAGTTTCAATAACTTTGAGATGAAATAAGATTTTAAATTTATTTCTGAGTAAAATGCTTTTAAAATACATAAGTCATAATATTATACAGAAAATATTAACTTCAAATCTGTGTTCATGCACCTTTAAAGCCATTATTTGCACACTGGTCCTGGTCTGTCGACTGATTTTATTTTTTCCAGGTCGTGACAAGGAGCGTAGTGTGACCTGTCGGCAGGGGATGCTTACTCATCCATGGTACCTGATCTAAACTCAGATATTTTACAGGTCCATGTCTGCTCTGCTCCTGATTTGTATTGTCTGAATGGACATTTGAATTTGAAAAATGTTTACTGACGTTTTTCATGCTAATTGTTAGTCCATTATTTATACACTGAATTGACGACGGATTTTTTTTTATTTCCCGATCATGACAAGGGGCACACAGCGGATGTGACCGGTCAGCAGGGGATGCTAACTCCTCCATAGCACCTGATCCCACCTCTGATGTTTCAGAGGTCCGTGTTTATTCTGCTCCTATTCGGTATTGTTTTATAGACTTTGATATTGAATACTGTTCGTTATCTCCATATCCATATCGCCATATCTTTCATGATGAGAAAAGACATCTAATCAAACAAAGAAAAATAGGAATTGTTTTCCCGGTGTTTTACTTTTTGGAATAACCCTCGGACTTAAGATAATCTGCAATAAATACAATAACATAAGCATGATTAATAGTGCTTAAACTGTTTATGAAATCATTATCTAAAATATTTATATAATAAGTGATTTAAAAAGAAATATTCTTAAACTGTTTATATACCTCAAAAATAAAATGATTCTTGCAGATTTGTAGACCAAATAGAGACTATCCACAATGATACACAAAGAAAATATACAGGTGTATGTGTGTAAATTCAATTTTTATCTATCTATATTCGTATAGTATAATATGTAAGGAAGTTTGCTACTTATTACCGCTTTCTCCTTTTAATAACCCCTTTCTTTTATATTTGTACTCCGTATCCATATATAATCCAAGAATATACCAAACCCTGTTTATATGAGGGATGTACAGAATTGACTTTTTGATTCTCTGACCGATCGACAGGGGATGCTCACTCCTCCACCTGATCAAACCTCTGATGTTTTAAAGGTCCTTGTTTGCTCTGCTCCTATTCTATATTGTTTTATGGATTTTGATATTGAATACTCTTCGTTATCTCCATATCCTTCCAACAAAAAATTTGAAAACTGTAATTGAATATGAAAAAAGTATGGACAGTGATAATTTCGTATGAGTCCCAAAGTCAAAAGCGGTTTGTCAATTAAAGATATTAAAGAAATTCATAGGAGACACGTATTAAGCACACTTTAAAAATTAACATGACGTGATACAAGTAATAGACGTAATTTAGACTTGATTTCATGTGGCTATGTACCATTATATGGTTTCTTTATTTTTACATTATAGTTTCTTATAAGTCCCCTACCGACGACATTGGAAGGGATTGTTGGTCTGACTCTGACCGTCCGTCTGTATAGCTGTCCCTCTGTATGTCATTCTGTCCTTCTTGATTCTCCCCTTGTCTAAACGCTTGAAGATATTGAATTAGTTTTTGCAATGTATTGTATCTTGATGAGTCACAGATCAATTTTGATTTTTTTTTCGCTTGATTTTAATTTTGAGGGAATTATAATATGTTTATCGAGATTGCTCTGGGACAAATTGGACCTTAACAGGTGAATTCTCCTCTATTAATTTACCACCTTGATGACAGCAGTGTATAATTTTTTACTCTTTGTCTCTTCTCGAATCTCAAAATCCACTTACGCTGCTTTCCTCATTTTCTGTGTTTCCTTTATGGTTTTGACTACATTCTTATTCGAGCACAAACTTATACAGTGACTTTTTGTACGTTTTTAAATTAGGATTAGACTAACAATCTACAGTATCATGTCTGGCTAAGCAGTTAGAGCATTATATGTTTTTTACCAATTTTCATGCGGCTGTTGTGATGTTTGAATCTTGCACAATCTTTTAAATCATATGACTACTTTGAAAATATACAGCATATTTTAGGTTTTCGAGCACTGAAGTTGTGTTGTGCATTGTTGTTGCTTATTACTGGACTTTGAATGTGTGTATAGAAGGTAGAGGAAGCATTTGATTCTGTCCCAGATAGCAAGACATAGTTGGGCCAACGTTGGCCCAATTTTTTTTCCCAACGTTGGCCCACTGTTGGTAACCTTACGTTGGCCAACGGTAATTTTGCTCATCGGCCCAATGTTGGTCCAACATGCTGGCATATTGTTGGGCCAACATAGGTATAATTGTATGACAACTAAAAGCCAACCTTAATAACTGGTTGGTTAGGTTGGCCCAACGTTGGCTCTTTGTTGAAATGTGAGATGGCATATTGTTGGGCCAACGTAGTTATTAGTGTATGCCAACTAACAGCCAACCTTAGCAACTGGTTGGTTAGGTTGGCCAAATGTTGGCCCTAAGTTGAAATGTCAGATGGCATATTGTTGGGCCAACGTAGTTATTAGTGTATGCCAACTAACAGCCAACCTTAACAACTGGTTGGTTAGGCTGGCCCAATGTTGACCCTTTTTTACAATGTCAAATGGCAAATTGTTTGGCCAACGTAGTTATTACATAGAAACATTTGCAACTGGTTAAGTGATGCTTTACATAAACCTATTTTATGACGGTTTAAAAAAATTAATACACAATTCAATCTGCATTCATAATGTATACATGGACATGTTCAATGAAAACATTACTAATGATTCACTGTGAAAATATTTTATATACATCAATTCAATCATAATTTACAAAATAAATTTTAAAATAGACAATAGAGGTAAATTATGAAAAATCAGAGCTCACTTCCTTTATTACTGTCCTTTTGTTGTATTCCCGCTCTTTTTCCGTCCCTTCGTCGCCTCCCGTTTTCTTCATCTTCATCTTTGTCATACGTACTCGTACTTTATACACTTCTTTATGCATGGTCTTCGATTTCATAGCTATTTGTTTTCCTTGCAGTCTCTGACTGAAAATACAAAATAGTTTGATATTAGAAACAATACAATTACTGGTCCATTTTATGAATAAATATTGCTTAAATTAAATCTTTTAATAAAACGAATGATGTATTATACTATTAGTGCACCTTAATTTCCTTGTTACAATCGTGTCTGTAATAGACAGTTAAGAATTAAATAAAACAACTTAAAAGATGTAATTTAACCTTAACTTACAGTGCTTGTGTGCAAAAACATGAATGAATGAATTCCGAATCAATTCTTACAGTTAACCTGAATAATTAAAAATAGATATACTTACATCGCTTCTAAATGCACCTAGAGCAAATGTATAATCCACAAATTTAAATTTCACTTCTTCTTGCTTGCCCTGCATTTTCAGTCTATCACAACCTGTGAGCAATTGAATCTCACAGCTCACTCCACAGTTTGGTGTAATTTGATTCCTGCTCGACTCTCCAATCTTTCGCGAACGCCTAAATTTTGTTTCCATTTAATTATAAAGCTGTGTCATTTTGATCTATGTATATGTGGGCTTCATTCACATCCTGCTTCTGAGAACTTATATTCAGTCTTCTCTAAATTCTCATGAATACAACGCTCATGAAAAACAATCATTATTTCAAGGGTTTTATTTCAAATAAATAAGCATGCATGTGCACAATTCAAAAAAATATAACAAAACATTCTTTGGTGCTGTGATCACTTAAGTTCAAAGTTAAAATACTGAAAATATCAGATCTAAACAAAAACAGTCATCCAATTAAAAGCATGGACATTGAATGTCCTCTTAATTATTTCAGAATGTGTATCTAAATTAAAACTTCATTAGAACTAACGTTGTCCCAACGTAAAGCTCAGCAGCTAAAAATGACACCGTCATTTAGTTGGCAGTATAATAATTGGGCCAGCGTTGGCCCAATATAAATATCCCATCTTTGAAACACCTAAACAAAAAAACTTGTGCTAACATCGGGCCAACGTCGGGCCAACATACTACTACCAACTTGATAAGGCACTTTATTTAAGAGTGTATTACAAACATCGGACCAACGTTGGGGCAACATACTACTACCAACTTGATAAGACACTTTCTTTAAGGGTGTATTACAAACATTGGGCCAACGTTGGGCTAACATACTAATACCAATTTGATAAGACATTTTTAAAGGATGTATTACAAACATTTGACCAACGTTGGGCCAACATACTACTATCAACTTGATAAGACGCATCATTTATGGGTGTATTACAAACATCGGGCCAACGTTGGGCCAACATACTACTACCAACTTTAAAAGACACTTTCTTTAAGGGTGTATTACAAACATTGGGCCAATGTTGGGCCAACATACTACTACCAACTTTAAAAAAACACTTTCTTTAAGGGTGTATTACAAACAGTGGGCCAACGTTGGGCCAACATCAACATCCCTCCTTCCTTGGGAAGTAAAGTGAATGGAAGTTGCTAACGTTGTACCAACGTTGGGCCAACATAGGAATTCTGTCATGGTCGAAAAGGTTGGCATGGTGACATTGGTCTAACGTTGGCCCAACGTTGTTCCCCCAACGCCAGCCATACAACCTTTTGCCAATGTTGGACCAACATAATCTTGCTATCTGGGGTTGTGTCAATATTTGTCCCAGCTTCCAATATTTTAAGTTTCCTTTATGGACTATTTCTCAAGTCACCAAGGAACCAATCGGCAGAGTTATGTTTACGCGCCAAATTCTTAAGCAAAAGCAATGTGATTAGAATAACAGGTACAAGAAAGGAACAATATACCTCAAGGTTCTCCACAAGGGATTTTACCATGGCGGCGCGCCATGGTTAAATTTATGTGCGCCATGCTTAAACGAGCTGCGCCATGGTTAAAATCGGCAGCCGCCATGATTAGATTTTATTGCATTTCAGTCCTGACACCTACTTTTTTTAATGACTTGAGTAGTTAATTGTGTTTATACTACGACTGAAAATTTCATAAAAAACGAATAAATCAAATTTTCAAGTTATAGGATAATTAGTTAAGTTCTGTTGAAATTATAACATGCATATATCATTCGATCTGGATTGGCATCGCAATGTCATTTAAACATAACGTGAACCGCAGATGTTTCCGTTTGTGGAACAATCCACAGCGTTCTCCATCGTTTTGAATTTTACTGTGTTGCACAATTTACGCGCAGCACTAAATTCTCGCGGTATTTTCTATATCATATTAGAATTTTGAGAATTCTTTTTTAATTATAAGCACAAACCCAAAACTACACAGTTTATTTTAATGAACATTGATCCTTTATAATCCTCTATATTTTTTAAGTAACTGTGACCTGTATCTTCTTACAATCAACGGAAATTCAAAACATTATATAAGTTGCATTAACTACTTATAATTTGATTTGATTAGTCCGAAATCGGACGATTTTTAACTCTCAGTGCATAAATAAATCTTATTTACAGTAAGTTCTTGACATAAGGCAGTGTTTACATGTATCTAATTTTCTTCACTTTACCACTGATGCTCTCAGCCACAAAGAGGTTATCACTGGTGTCGACACATAAACTCCATGGATTCTGTAGATCACAGTTATCAATGTAACGGAGAAACTGTCCATCCTGATCTAGGATGTGGATACAGTAGTTGTAATAGTCTGCTATCAGGATCTGACTCTGGCTGTCTGTTGTGATTCCGTACGGAGCAAATAATCCCTTGGTAGTAGAGGGATGACCAGTGTATCTAAATCGGAGTTTTCCTGACTGATTGACCACCACTACTGCACTGGCTCCATTGTCAGCCACGCAGATATCCAGGTTTCTGTTCTCACTGATGTATTTACCAGATGAATACAGTGGCTTGCCTTCGCTATCAAACTGAATGGTTTGTTTCTCTGTAGAGCCATAGTAACGGACAACTTTTGATTGTTCTTCATCACTGTACATGGTAACCAGGAGGTCACCAGAGGAGCTACTACAGATAGAGTTAGGTACCCATCCCTGTAGTCTGAACACTTCATTTATCTGTTTATTCTTCACTATGTTTACAGTTCTTGCATTTTTGTCAACAAAAAATAGATCTCCACTCCTTGTCACTGTTATGTCATGTGGTTTCTTCCCAGACTTGGTTTTAATTGACTTCAGTAATTTACCCTTGAGGTTGTAGAGCTTTATAAGTTTGTCATCTCCACATGTCCAGATTTCTTCATCTCTGAGAAGGGCAGAACTGCGTAGTGGTTTATACCCAGTGTCTATGGTGGTGATGAGCTCTGGTTCATCAAGTAGAGGTTTGGCTGGAGTACAGGATACAGCTTCTGGTGCCTCCATTGTGTAACCATGTTCTTCTGTTGTAATGGATAATGCTGACAGAGAACCGAATATTTTATGGAGCTGCTCTGTGTTGATCGGATAAGGAGAGAAGCTTGGTAATGTTACATTGAGGTCTGGTGGTAAACATCTCAACTCTGCATTTCTGGATTTGTATCCATAAGCTAAGGAAATGTCATTGGATTCCAGAATTTTCTTTAAATCAATTATGCACTGATTGACTTCTGCAGTAATGTGTTTGACTTCATTTTCCTGTTTATTCAAAGCAGCCAAGTGTTTAGTTTTCATCTCATCAATATCAGATTTTTGTTTGTTGACAATGATGTTAATTTCTCTGTGCCAGTCTTCTCCTTGTTTGGTGACAGCTGTTGCCAAATTACTGTAGTGAATTTCTAAATCTTCTTTCTTGGTTTTTATGCGAGAGGTAATTTCTTCATATTGTGGATGTATTTTAGTCTCGAGTTCTTTTAATTCTTTTTCGATATCTTCTGTTTTGGAGCCAACGCTCTGTAAAACATCTGATAAATAATGTCCTATATGTTTACCTGATGAGATGCAGGTAGAACAGACAGGAATGTCACATTGCTCACAGTAAAGTTCACAGTTCTTGGAATGCTTTGGACATTTTGGAATTTTAGGAGTTGAAAATCTTTCTGTATACGGTACGACTCTATGTTTCTTGGCTGAATCAGACAGATGCTCTCCTACACAGACCTTACACAGGTTGAAATGACAAGGCTGGCAATGACTTTGTACCACATTAGTCTCACAAAGGCCACATCTTAAGATGTCCTGAGCACTGTATCGAGAGACCATAGTGATGTTCCAGTAACAGTCTGCAATTAAAGTGTAGAAATCAAAGTTATGATTAAGCACCACCGATGAAATTTTGTTTCTTTTTTATCAAAACAATTTTTTGGGGAAAAATAGTATCTACGGCTAATAAAAAAAATTTGATACTGTTACTTAAAAGGACCGTGACTTCAATTTTAATGGCATGACTTTAACTCTATTCGCCTTAGATCATTTCATTCTTTACCCCTTAATGACGCCTACCTCGAACCCTTAATGACAACTTTTTACGCACGTGTCTTTCAGTGTTTAATTTTTAATTACCCCAATTGTTTACAAATTATCAGAGCACAGGTGGCCACATGCAGGTTAACAATAAACGACTGCATCATACTACAGTTAAAAAATTAGGAGATTTACCTGTGTAAACAAACAAAAGAATCTTAGAAAGTCCCATAAAAATTCAGATTTGATGCATACAAGATTTTAGAGTATATAACTCAATCAATATGCAATATGTTCCATCCAGTAAAGCATTACATTGAATAAAGTTTAAAACTACATATTTCTTGAAAGTTTGCAAATAACAAGGATGTATGTGTTCAATAAATTTTGATATAAGATAAGTTACTCATTTCTCAGAAATTCAGAAGGTACCTTCCATATGCATTTTACACATACTAGTATTTATAAACGTGAAGGTGTAGAAAATAATTTTTTTAATAGCATTTGACATTGAAATAAACAAAATGTCAGAAATTTTGTTTTATCATCCAAGTTTGAAAATTTGTCAGCAATTTGACATTCAACTGGTACTACAATTTATTGATTTCTGAGAATTTGAAATTATAAAATATAACCATCAATTATATTATCAAAGATAATATTTATTTATACAGACAATTCTAGCTTCTTAAAGCCGTTTTACATGTTGAAAATAACTATTTAACGATTTGCACCTACTTTCACCTATATCTAATTATTTACAGAAAATGTCGATCTCAATTATGCAAATAAATTTGAAGACTTCGAATCCAATGATATATGAGGGATTATCAAAACGTTCGTGGACTGAGGCTGTAAAATTAGTACTATGTCGTTTGTGCTTTCAAAATTTATATGAAACATAAAACAACAATAGGGAAAAGTGAAATTTTTAGCCTGATACGCTCATTATTTGCCAAATTTTTATAAAATAAAAACGACATTATATGATCACCCGGCGCTGTCGTCGTTTATTTACATGACGTTCGATTACTTCTTTGCTTTTATAATGCCAGCTTCTTCTACCTCATACACGTTTTTGATGAGATTTCTTGGAGCTCAGTAAGGACTTAAACCCGCCTTGTTTATATTACTTTACAATGTCATGAACAGTGGCTTTAAATGAATATAATATTCCAAATGGATTAATACAATGGGAGAGATCCTCGCTTGATTGTGGCGTTATATTTTGCTTTTGGGAGTTCAATATATACAACACATGATCAACATCATTTTTGAAGTGATTGATTTTTCACACCTTGACAGCAAATCAACATTAACTGTGTATCCCTTTTCTCTCTGAATCTATTTTGACATTAAAAGACCAGTACTCTGGATGCATATTATTTCTCTGTAGGCAGTTTCAATATATTTTAGGTCTATACCAGTTTTTGCATTGGCAAAACTTTATAGAAAGTTTGAAATGGAAACCTCTCTCCGCTTTTGACGTCATTTTCAATGATTCATTTGTTTGGACATTCCTTGTAAAATTTACGATTACATTTCATAGAACTTCCAGAATAAAGTGAAATTTTCATATTTTATTGAAAAATTGTGTCCCGACACATAACTGAGTTAACGGGATTTTTGAACGTCAAATAGTCATATCAAAAGAGTTTTTTCTCAGTTACACATAGGTCGCAAAAACGTCGTAGTTCGAGGTTGCACCGTCTGGACATACCATTGCTTACAAAAATATTACTAATTTATTAATACATAACATTTTTGATTTGTGGTTTATTCTTTAGATAGAAAATATGATGCAAACTAGATATCTTTAGCAGTTACAATTTAACGACGCTAGTCAACGATTTTTTGATAACCCCTCGTACAGATAGCATAAATGAAATATTTTGACCCTTATTTGGTTTTAAACTGCACTCCGTTTTATCTCAAACAGTCTAAGGGGCAACTAAGCAAACATTCTAAGGATATGGCCAGTGCGTCAAATCGTGGCATTAAGGGGTAAAGAGTTAACAATTATATTTATTGGGAAAATTTAATTTTTATACACATCAATGAACTAATTGAAAGTCATAATTTCTATTTCATACATTAAAGTTTCAGGCAAATTATCATTATTACAGTGTGATATATGAAGTTATTAAACAGAACAATGATTCACTCATTTACATGAAAAATACAAAAGGAACTTAATAAATGGTAAAAGCAGCTTTATGTATCATGTCTGACCTGTAAGTGTAATATGACTCCTGGATGATAATTTACCTCCTAGTTCAGTTATTTGTCCTGGCCTGTCTTCTGGTCACATGATTTAAATACCTGTACTTGTTAATTGTAAAATGTATATATGGATCGCATGTCAGGTGACGGATATGGAGATAACGAACAGTATTCAAAATCAAAGTCCATAAAACAATACAAAATAGGAGCAGGGCAAACACGGAGATCAAATTTCTGTTATGAAGTTAAATATGTAGCATTCAACAAATCCTCTTGTCATAGCCCATAGTTTTTGGTTAATGCATTCTTTTTTTTTATTTAAAAAATTAGCAAAACATGTACGACGTTAAAATAATTGAATTATTTCAGTTTGTGAAGTACCTGAGTTTATTTTTGTTGCAATTGATGGAACTTATAGATTTCCAAAATATTAAGAATTTCTAAACCTTCTGTGATGTTCAAAATACTACTTACCTGCAGCCAGCCATGTTAATCTATACAAATACTTTTTTCACTTCAAATTCATTTTTTGTTTAAATGATAATAAAAAATTAAAAACTACCTTTGGAAGGCAGATAGAGTGACCTCTTGAGACAGGTGACTCTGAAAAGACACTTCTGAGCTCGTCGTCATTAACAACGCAGTACAGTTAAGGCAACACATGAAAAAATATGAGAATGAGGTCATAATGATTCTGACGTCATGACTGTTGCTCTGCCCTGATTGAACCATATAAGGAAATAGAGCTCAAAATAAATATTTACCGATTTTTGCAAGAATTTGTAATAAACGGCAATATTTTCTTGTTTAAATAGAAAATAATTAGTGATTTTCTCGAATATAATATAGCATGTCTTTAAAATAATTCTTTTTAATGTGTCGTTTGGCTGCATTCGGCTTCAGCCAAGCGCTTGCACTCGATGACACGGAATCTTGTTTACATCTAAAAACATGGCGACATCAGCTGAGATTTGCAGTGGATTTACATTCATTAACCAGGCAATCTTTAAAGCAAATAGGGATAAAATAAGAGACAAGGCATTGTTTACCCCTTTTACGAGAATATGAGGACAAAATTTCGGAAAATAATGGAAAACTGAGACGACCTGCACCAGCTCCGTCACCAGATCCAGCACTGTGATTTCAGGCCAGGTATGTATGCGTATGTAGGTAGATGTGAAGATCTACAACATGTACAGGCGTGAATCCAGAATTTTTTTTCCAGGGGGCGGGGGGTCCACCCTAGTCAAAAAAATCCAATCCCAGAAATTTCTTGAGAAGCGAAAAAAAAAACTTAACTCCTTAACTCGCCCAAACGTGGGAAACCGGGGAAGGGGTAGTCTTTGACTTTTATTGCCTCAAACCTTTCACTTTTCATACCCATTTCAAACATATTCACGTTTACCAAGGGGGATCAGCGTTTTCCAAGGGAGGCCCAAGGTAACTTTTTTCTTGCTTTAGTATATACATTTTTTAACCTTGTAAATTCCAAGGGGGGGGGGGGGGGTTCTGACCCCCCCCCCCCCCCCCGACCCCCCTCTAGATCCGCGCATGAATGTATACATGCTTTTGTTAACATCAAAGAAAAAAATCGAGTGCGTGCATGTTCATTTAGATGTATTATCACAGTCAGTGAAAACTGTAATGCAGAGCCTTGTGTTTAAACTCCCCCCCCCTTCTAAGTTGCACACTTTTTAGAATTATTAAAATTTGAATACACTAAATATATACTGAGTTCCTGTCAATTAGCTCATTTTCTTTGAGACTATATGTATAGTAAGGGAAGTCATCAGTAACACAAATTTAAACTAAATCAAATGAGATATGTTTTTATTGTTTCAGTCAATGATTCACTAGGCCTAAACAAGTAATTATGTTGTCTTTTGACATACATCCATGCTACACAATAAAAAAAAATCAGAATCATTATGTTGAAAACATAGAACCTCCGCTTCTGCTCTATGGTTGTAATTTCTTAGAATTTCTAAATTAATGAAAAAAATATTCATTTTTTGTTTAGATTACATGTACATGAAAAATATTTATATATATAATACTTTTTTCATTGTAGCTGTCAAGAAATTCAGGATTAAAGAATGAAAAAATAAAAAAAATGCATCAATTTCTCCACAGGGTATGTATACTTCTAGAGCATTCCATATTTTTTTAAAGTATGCATGTGCTATACAATTTTGTTTTTCATTTTGGTTAAGGTGAAACTCAGAATTTTTTTTTTTAAATATTCTAACAATTGTTATTGTATATGACAAAAATTTCACATTCCCATTAAAGTTTTGTAAGACAACTTTTTTTCCATTTATATGAAAAACATAAATTCACTGCAGTATACAATGTAGTATGATTAATTTTTTTTTTCAAAATATAATGCCATTTTTTTCTACAATGTATATTTGGTAATCCAATAGCATATTACTGCATATATTTAAGCATTGAATTCACATTTTTGTCTGTCTTCGATCCTATAACACACCTGGCCGTGCCGACAAATTGAATACCGCGCGTTAGCGCGGTATGATAAATTTGTCGGCACGGCCAGGTGTGTTATAGGACCGAAG